AGACTTGTGTTTCCTTACTAATTTTCTGGGTTGATGATCTGTCCATTGGTGTTAGTGTGGTATTAAAGTCTCCTACTATTATTGCGTTACTGTCAAGTTCTCCTTTTTGCCTGTTAGTGTTTGTCTTATGTATTGAGGTGCTCTTATGTTGGGTGCATAGACATTTACAATTGTTATGTCTTCCTTTTGGAGTGATCCCTTGATCATTGTTTAGTGCCCTTCCTTATCTCTTGTAATCTTCTTTATTTTAAGGTCTATTTTGTCTGATATGAGGATTGCTACTCCAGGTTTCTTTTGATTCTCGTTTGCATGGAATGCATTTTTCCATCCTCTCACTTTCAGTCTACATGTGTCTTGAGGTCTGAAGTGGTTTCTTGTAGACAGTATATATATGGGTCTTGTTTTTGTATCTATTCAGCCAGTCTGTGTCTTTTGGTTGGAGCATTTAATCCAATTATATTTAAAGTAATTATGGATATATGTTTTCCTATTGCCATTTTCTTAATTGTTTGGGGTTTGATTTTGTAGATCTTTTTCTTCTCTTATATTTCTTGACTATGTAAGTCCCTTTAACATTTGTTGTAAAGCTGGTTTGCTGGTACTGAATTCTCTTAACTTTTGCTTGTCTGAAAAACTTTTTATTTCTCAATCAATTTTTAATGAGATCTTTGCCAGGTACAGTAATCTTGGTTGTAGATTTTTCCCTTTCAGTATTTTAAATATATCCTACTATTCCCTTCTGGCCTGCAGAGTTTCTGCTGAAAGATCAGCTGTTAAGTCTATGGGGTTTCCCTTGTATGTTACCTGTTGCTTCTCTCTTGCTGCTTTTAACATTCTTTCTTTGTGTTTAGTCTTTGTTAGTTTGATTAGTATGTGTCTTGGCGTGTTTCTCCTTGGGTTTATCCTGTACGGGACTCTTTGCACCTCTTGGACTTGATTGACTATTTCTTTTCCCTTGTTGGGGAAATTTTCAACTATAATCTCTTCAAAAACTTTCTCATATCCTTTCTTTTTCTCTTCTTCTGGGCCCCCTATAATTTGAATGTAGGTGCATTTGATAATGTTCCAGAGGTCTCTGACTATCCTCAGTTCTTTTCATTCATTTTACTTTATTCTGCTCTTCAGAAGTTATTTCCACCATTTTATCTTCCAGCTCACTGATTCATTCTTCTGCTTCAGATATTCTGCTATTGATTCCTTTTAGAGTATTTTTAATTTCAGTAATTGTGTCATTTGTCTCTGTATGTTTATTCTTTAATTCTTCTAGGTCTTCATTAATTGATTCTTGCATTTTCTCCATTCTGTTTTCAAGGTTTTTGATCATCTTTACTGTCATTATTCTGATTCTTTTTCAGGTAGTTTGCCTATTTCTTCTTCATTTATTTGGACTTCTGTGTTTCTAGTTTGTTCCTTCATTTGTGCAGTATTTCTCTGCCTTTGCATAATTTTTTTTTAAATTTATTGTGTTTGAGGTCCCCTTTTTCCAGGCCTCACAGTTGAATTCTTTCTTCTTTTTGGTTTCTGCCCTCCTAAGGTTCTCCTGCCTGGAAAGTCCCATGGATGGAGGAGCCTGGTAGGCTGCAGTCCATGGGGTCGCTGAGTCGGATACGACTGAGTGACTTCACTTTCACTTTTCAATTTCATGCATTGGAGAAGGCAATGGCAACCCACTCCAGTGTTCTTGCCTGGAGAATCCCAGGGACGGGGGACCTGGTGGGCTGCTGTCTATGGGGTCGCCCACGACTGAAGTGACTTAGCAGCAGCAAGGTTGGTCCAGTGGTTTGTGTAAGCTTCGTATGGGGTGAGATTTGTGCTGAATTTTGTTGTTGTTGTTGTTGTTTTTCCTCTGATGTGCAAGGCTAAGTGAGGTGGACATCCTATCTGCTGGTGACTGGCTTTGTATTTTTGTCTTGTTTGCTGTTTGGATGAGGCGTCCTGCACAGGGTGCTACTGGTGGTTGGGTGATGCTGGGTCTTGTATTCCAGTGGTTTCCTTTGTGTGAGTTTTCACTATTTGATACTCCCTAGGGTTAGTTCTCTGGTAGTCTAGGGTCTTGGAGTCAGTGCTCCCACTCCAAAGGCTCAGGGCTTGATCTCTGGTCAGGAATGAAGAGTCCACAAGTAGTTTGTTATGGCATTAAGTGAGATTAAAACAAGTATCCGAAAATGAGAAACCAAAGATGAACCCCAGACAAATGGCAGTTACAAAATCAGGCAAATAGTAATTAAAATAATGGAACTACACATACACATATACACTCATAAGCAAAACTAAAACAGTCCAACAAAAATAAAGTACAATAGATTGACCTGGAGAACAAAGGAAACCAAAGATTATATCTACCAGTTAAGAGCAAAACTAACCAAAGCACAAACTGGAAAACAAAACTAAGTCAAAGTGCCAAGTGAGGAATAAAGCAATGAAAACAAAACTAACAAATATGTTGAGAGGACAGGAAAGAAGGAAAAGAAAGGAAGAACAGACATGCAAGTTTAAATAGAGGTAGGTAAAGATTTTTATATATTAAAGATTAATAGCAAGGGTAAAAGAACAGTAGGAAAAGCAAACAAAGGAATAAATGTACAAATAATAATAATAATAGATTTTTGAAAATTAAAATTAAAAAAAGAGAGAAAAAAAAAAGGAGAACTCCACAGAACTGCAAAAGCCCAATGTAGAGGCAGACGTATATATCAATAAAAGGTGTTAAACCTTAATCAGATTTCATAGTGCCAATAAAATCAGCAACTACTATGGGGTGGGGGAGAAGAAAAACTACAGAAGAATCCATAGAACAAAACATAAGAATAATGCATGTCTTTCTTGAGTCACTGCCGTCTCCTTTCCCTCACTGGGAGTCACAGTCCACCTCCCCTCCCGAGGATGCCCTCCTACACTGTGCTGGTCTCTGGACCTGCTGAGGGGGCAGCTCAGATTCTAATCTGGTCCTACTCCTGTGAGTTCTTGCCTCCCGTGTCCACAGCTATCAGAGCTAGTGCGTTTTCTTTTGTGGGAGCTCTCAGTGGCCTTTTATATATTCCGTAGACACAGTCTGCCTAGTTGATCGTGTGGATTTAATCTGCAGCTTATACAGCTGGGGGGAAGGTTTTGGGTCTTCTTCCTTGGCCACACCACCCCTGGGTTTCAACTGTGGTTCTATTTCCACCTCTGCATGTGGGTCGCCCACTGGGTTTGCTCCTGAGGCTGCCCTGGAGGACTTGGGCTTGCCCCTGTGAGGGCCAGGTGTGGAGGTGGTGGGGCTGCTTGGGTCGCAGGGGTTCCGGCAGCACCAGGTTCTCAGGGGAGTTGGCGGCCAGGGCAGCAGGCAATATAGTGCTCTAGGAGGGTGTGGCAACCAGTGGCGGCCAATACGCAGCAGTGTTCTTGCCTGGAGAAGACCACTGACACGGAAGCCTGGAGCACATGGCAACCAGTGGCGGCAAACACGCTGCAGTGTTCTTGCCTGGAGAAGCCCACTGACACGGAAGCCTGGCAGGCCACAGTCCAGAGGGTTGCAAAGAGCTGGACAAGACTGAAGTGGCCCCGCGTGCATAGGCACAAGACTTTTTGCCTGTGCAGCTCTGCCCCAGTGAGGGTTGAGCGTGAAGGTGGCACAGCTGCTGGGTCGCGGGGATCCTAGCGGCGCCAAGTAGGGACACAGACTGCCTCAGCTGCAGGAGTTATGGCCCTATCAGAGTCTTTTTTCAAGCCTCTTGTAGCTGGCGATCAGAAGGCCTCTTCGGCCAGTCTTTCTCCACAGCTCTGCCCGTTCAGGCCTTTAGAGGGCTCCCCTGCCTGGGGTCCTTCTCTGTTGTTCAGGATCAGGCACATAGAGGGGCCCCCTGGCTGAGGTCTACTCTGTAGATTGTGCATCAGTCACTCAAAGGGGCCCCCTGGCTGGGGTCCTACTCTGTAGATCAGTGAGTCAGGCGCTTGATGGGCCAGGCTTTCTATTGTTCAGCTGCCGATGCTGGCCTGTGGGGAGAGAGAGGCTATGGTGATGGCTCCTTCCCCATGCATGACTCAGCAGTGTAGCCTTGCTTCCATGGCTGCCTGGCTTTTCTCCACAGGCGTTTCCCACCACGATCTCCTCCCTCACAAACCTTCAGTCCATCTCTCCACAGTCAACAGCAGCCCTCGCCCTGGGATTGCTCCACAGTCCGTAAAGTCCAGCTCCCAGCCACTGCCCCTTCCAGGAGACCAGCATTCCTGTCCAGGGTATGTATGGCTGCGGCCAGGACTGTCCAATTCTCATTCCATTTAGGCTGCCACAGATCAGCTGTTTCAGTCTCAGCCTTAAATGTTTCTCCTGTGACTCAGACAATTCCCTGATGTGGGGATCAGACCCCTGCTTCAGTTCCTCCACCCGCCGAGGGCAGGTCCAGTCCTACCAACACTCCTGTTTTTGCCCTAGTTCCTTCGTCCTGCCGAGTTTTGCGTGGTTCTCTGTATTCTTTTCCTCTGGTCAGGTGCTCCTGTCTGCTCCCAGCTGGTGTTCCGCATGCACGTCTGTATCTGAAGGAGAGCTCCTGACGGATCCGCGGGGACAGATGTACTCCACGTCCACCTGCTCCTCCACCACCTTGTTCTCCTCTGTGAAAAGACTTTTTTTAAAAAAGGAAAGGGCAAGATAGAAAATTTCGGGAATGACAAAATACACTGAACATAGTAAGCACTGCTTCCTGAACCTTCTCTATATAGGGTGTCTTAGGTTGTTATGCTATAAAGTTTATTTCTTACTGAAGGTTTTGGCCAGGATGGTCAGGAGATGGTCTGCCAGTCTCAGGAGACCTCCCAGCTGGAGTCTGCAGTTGTAATTGGGGCCCCTCCCGTGAGAAGGTCCCACCGCGTGGCGGCAGCCTTGGTACTGTTCTGACAGTCTTTCTCTGGCTGCTCTAACATGGCAGGGAGCCCCAGCTCTAATGGAGAAGACTGGTGAGTTTCCTATGAAGTCCGGAGCAAAAGCAGCAACCAACGACAGCCCCTGACTCATAATTTCCTTAGCGCACCTCCCTCTCAGGGATGCCCAGCGTGCGTGGGGCTGTCAGCGCACTTGCATATGTCACTGACCTGGCGGAGGCACTCGGCGGAGCCTCGGTGCCAGGGCAAGGCCCATTTCTCCAGCTCAGCGTCGCTCCGCCGAAACTGAAGAGGGCAATGAAAACCCACGAGCAGGGAAAAGGAGGGTGCAGCAGGTCTAGAGGCCCTGGATGCCCTCACCTAGGTCCCCTTGTGCTCCAGAAGGCTGGGGTGAGAGAGGAGAAGGAGAGGGGCTTAGCTTGCTCGGGGAGCCTCGGATCCTGTCTCAGAGCCGGAGCCAGTGGGTTCCGCTGCAGGATCAAGTTCCGAGGTAGCCGCAGAGAGCAGAAGCTGCCACCAGAAGGCAGCAGAGCATTGCTGTTGGAAGTCTCGGCTCTGAATTTCCGGCTCTTAAAGGCGGCAGGACGCAAAGGACCTCTAGAGACGACACGAGAGACTCCGACTTTTAAGACAGGTTGCCCACCAGGGCTCTGCTGGACCTAGCTTGCATAGGTTTACAAGAACCGACGTTTGAATTTTCAAAACATTTGCAAGCCAGTTGTTAAACATAGCCATTGTTAAAGCTTGCAATGAAATAAATTATATTTTAAGAAGGTAACACTAAAAACTCTCCACTTTCCAATTATTATACTACAATTAATTATCTATGTTTCTGAAGTTTATTAAGGTTATTCAGTCTGTGTGGTGAAAATGCCGTATAGCATTGTGCTACCATGTACAGTGATATCACTCTGCCAGCCTGAAATCCGTCATGGTGGGAAAATTTACACTGTGGAAATCAGAAAAAGCTACAAATTAGGGAGTCTCCTTCTTTTGGAGAGTCTCCAGTTCTGTGATCTTCCCCCACCCCAACCAGCCACTCCCACCAACCTTAAAGAGTCTTCTTCAGCACAGAGAGATGCGAGACGTGGCTCTGACCTTTAGCACTGAGAACTCTTAATGACTTTACCTGGACAAGCAGACACGAGAGAACTTGCCGCTGGGACTGGGGTTCAGCAGGAGGACTCTGAGGCACGTCCCCATCATCCCCAGGCCCCGTGACCCCTGCCCTATGGGTAGTAGGTGAAGAAGAGATGTTTGGCCTGAAGAAAAGACCCAGGAAAGAAAACAGCTTGGTAAAAACTCAAAGGGCTGGCTGTGAGTGATGGTTCAGATCCAGGATATAGAATTAAGGCCAAAAAATACTGAGTTGACTTTATATGAAGAAGAACCTCAACTAGGGCTGTTCAGAGATGGAAACACAGGGCTCCAAGTGCTACTTCCTCCCCAGTGGGTGGGATGCATAAAAAGAATTGAATACTCCTACAAGATGTCAACTAAACTCTTACTACTCAAAATGTGGTCCACAGATTAGTATCATAGGATCACCTGGAAACTTGTTAGAAATGCAGGATCTCGGGCCCCACACCAGACCTACTGAATCAGAACCCACATGTTAACAAGGTCCCCACATGATAGTTTCAGAAACATTAGACTGAATTACCTTTAAATGTGTTTGAGGGGGCTACTCACTACATTATCGTTATAATGGCACATTATATGGAAATAATCTAACTATAATTTGGAGATCTGGTTAGTAAAGTAGAGCCATATAACAGAATCACTATTCACACAATAAAAAGAATGAGATGGACTTCCCTGGTGGTCCAGTGGCTAAGACTCCAAGCTCCCAATGCAGGGGGTCTGGGTTCAATCCCTGGTCAGGGAACTAGATTCCACATGCTACAACTAAAGATCCTGAATGCTGCAACTGAATTAATAAATAAAATAAATATGTTTAAAAAAAAAAAAGAATGAGATGACTTTTATACAGTGGTAAGAATGAGATCCAAGCTACACTGTTACATGTAGAAGCAGTCATTCCTAAAACCAAAATTTGTTCTAGATCATCAATCAAGTATTTAAAAAAAAAACTCTGCAAGAACTGAAAGTGAAAGTCGCTCAGTCGTGTCCGACTCTTTGCGACCCCATAGACTGTACAGTCCATGGAGTTCTCCAGGCCAGAATACTGGAGTGGTTAGCCTTTCCCTTCTCCAGGGGATCTTCCCAACCCAGAGATTGAACCCAGTTCTCCCACATTGCAGATGGATTCTTTACCAGCTGAGCCACAAGGGAAGCCCTGCAAGAACTGAAAGTATCATAAAAGAATATACTAACAAGCTGAAACTCAGACATAAGAACCACACATTTCCACCTGGCAAAAAGCAAAACAAACAAGTGCAAATGACAGATTAAGAAAGTACTTGCAAATCATAAATAAGAGGTTACTTTGATAAACAATGAGCTCCTACAAAGCAATAAGAAAGAGACCAATAATGTCATTTTAAAAATGGATGAAGGATTTAAATGTTTCACAGAAAAGGAAAGGCAAATAATGTCTTTAAACATGTGAAAGGAAGCTTAACTCGTTCAGGATGCAAATTAGCACTATGATAAGACATCATTTTTGTCTACACTGGCAAAGACTAAGTAAGTTTGATACTGTGGGAAAGGAAGGAAACAGATACTCTCATGCCATGATGTCTCTATGGAGGACCACTGATAATAGCTCTCAAATTTAATGTATGTATATACTCCTTGATGTAGCTCTTCCTGACGTGTAAAATGACATATATTCAAGAATATTGTAATTCAGTTACAACAGCAAAAAAAATTGGAAATAACTGACTGTGTATCAGTGTAGTTCTGGTTAAGTTCATTTCTCAGATGCATGCAATGTAATAATATGAAGCTGTCAAAAATAATTTGGCAATTCTGTAGCGACTGAAATGGAATAATCACCTACATATTTCTAGTAAAAAAAAAAGCCCTAATGTATAGAACATTATGCATAGTATGTTTTCATTTGTGTTAAAATATTAATTAAGCTTTTATGTTCTCAGAAATTTCTGGAATGATAACACAAGAGACAGGTACCAGCGGATCTGAGAAGGTAGTCAGGGCAGGAGGAAGCTGAACTTTTCAGTGAAGACTCTTTTAAAATGATTTACAGTTTTTAATGCTCTAGTTTTAAACCACAGTGAAGATCAAGCTCCCGTCCCCTCCCAGACCTGGGTGGATGGAGTGTCCTGGGGGCTGCCCTGTTCCGCTCTGCCCTGTCTAATTAAATACTGTCTTTGCTTAAGGCTCGTTTAAGGCTCTGACTCCCTCCCTCCACAGAGGCAATCTACCCCTGGCTTTCAATGTGTAGCTAGTGGGAGCTGCAGCCCACTTTTCTGGCTGCTCTGGGCATTATTTTCTTCTCTACGTGCACCATTAGAGGTGTCTGCACTTCCTTATATCACCAAAATGCCACTGGCCTTTAGTGATGTCACCTGTCTCAGCCCTGACACTCACTGTCACAGCACATGATGCAGTCTATGATTCTGCCCTGGCAGGTTGCTCACTGTGAGCCTCACGTCCCCAGAGGCGTGGGAGCTCCTTGAAGGTGGGGGCCTGGGCTTGGCTCGTCTCTGTGTCCCCCTTGGTGCTAAGAGCAGAGAGGGTGCTCCTGAAAGGTGGCTTGAGTCTCAGGTGAGGGATGGCTGTTTGACACAGATGACACCCCTGCTGTCTGACTGCTCCCCCGCCCCCGGCACTTGGTTCTGGGAGACTGGACGCGCGCCCCCTCTCGTGCTGCAGGGACTGAGGCTCCTTCCTGCAGAGGCAGCAGCCGCCCGGGGGCTCGGAAACCGCCCCTCCTGCCGCAGCGGCAGTCCTTGGCCTCAGCTCCACCCATCCGGCCCTCTGGGAAGCTGCAGAGCAGGCAGGCCTCTTTTTTCTATCACTTCACTGGAACCCCACCCCTAACTTAACCATCAGTATGTGTGTACTGAGGCTTCGTTTTCTTTTGTGAATTTCAGAAGCTCAGTGGAGGTTTCACCAAATATTTATCAACTGCCCATTGTGTATTAGACACTGTGCTGGGTACGTGTTGTGAATAAACACTACACAGATTCTGCTCTCAAGGAGCTTATGGTCCTTGGGGGAAAACAGCCACATGAGCAAAATGAATGTAATGTCAGCACAGTGCTAGAAGGGGGCCCAGAGTTATGGGGACGCAGGATTGGGGTGGGGGGCTTATCCTGATCTTCAGGTGGTGGAACGAGTGACAGCAGGAGAAGGTTCTGTGGCCCAGCCTGAACGCTAAATGAGAATCTAGAGCACCCAGATTTTACAGCCAGTCTTCTTTTTAGCCTGATAATCTTCATCACTCTTCTTTTTCCCTTTCTTCCTCAGCAGAAGAGCTGTCTGAGGTGGGAGAAATAGAACTGATTTTGCTGAAGGGACAAATGTGATGAGGTGAAATACTTGTAGGGTTTCTCGGGGGGCCCAGTGGTAAAGAATCCACCTGCCAATGCAGGAGACATGGGTTCGATCCCTGGGTCGGGAAGATTCCTAGGGGAGGAGATGGAAACCCACTCCAGTATTCTTGCCTGAAACAACCCCATGTCCAGAGGAGCCTGGTGAGCTCACAAAGAGTCCGACAGGACTGAGCAACTGAGTGTGCAACTGAGTGTGCACACACAAGATACTTGTAGATACTTGTATAGGGTCCAAGACTGGGAGGGGCAGTAGCCGAGGGTCTAGGGCTGGAAGGGAGTGAAGCGGGGTTCTGGCCTCATCAAGAGTCCAGCTAGAGGTCCTCCTATCCCTTCCAGGGAGTCTCCTCCCCAGTTCAGTCTCTGCCCTGTGGGTGCACCCAGGAAAGGGGCCACAGGGGCAGGTACGCTCCAGGCCTGAGGCCTAGACACAAACTGAACATTCTCCCGTCCGTTACTTATCACCCCTCTCAGAGTCCAGAGGATGACACATGTTCTTCCCTCGATGCTCAGAAGTGTGGTCACACTGAGCGTCTTGGCGGCCAGCCTCGGAAGGATCTGACCACACGTGTGTACAAGTTCTTGGTCTCACCGTTTGAAGTGTTTGAAATATGTACATGTCCTGTGCCCAGGACGGTGAGGGTTCGCTTTACTTCGGGTCTTTGGAGGTTAGCCCAGTCACCTAGGACTTCCTCCCTGGGCTCAGCTCTGGAGGAAATCTGGAAGCCAGTGGTGGGTAGGAGTGAAAACCCTCTGCTCCACCCTCTGGGAGGATGCAGCCTCAGGGCAGCCAGGCAGGACGTTTCAGACCACTCTGGTGAGAGCCTCATTCACCTTGAGGCTACCCTGCAGAGTCAGGAAGGGGATTCCTGAGTAAAAACCTCGAAAAGGTGATCAATTCTCAAGCCCAGAGACCAAGATGGCAGCTGCCAGCTAACCTTCCCTTCAAATTCAGACACCTGGGTTGCTGCAGTGAAGGGCCGGCTTCCCGGCCACATAGAGGGGCCAAGAGGCTCCTCTCTGCTGCCTGCATCCCCCACTCCCCATCCAGGCCCTCTCCCCAGATAAAAGGCTTCTTGTGCAAAAATCTCCGATCTGAAGTGCTGGAAATCCTACAAGCCGACTGCATCAGGCATGTGTCATAAATATTTATGCTGCCATTGACACATGTCAGAGTGCATGTGCGTGCCGGGGAAGCCTGCTGACGGATGCCGCGAGCAGACTCCAGGTCAGTAAGAGGCAGACGTCCTGAACCTGAGCGAGTGCGTCCGGGCACCGGGGGGCGGGGGGCGGGGGGCGCGCGCCTCTAGGCTGGATCAAGCAGGGACAGGGCGGCCTCTGTCAGGGTTGCTGTAATGGAGCTCTGAACAGGTGGGGGAAGGTGGACTCCATTACAGGACACAGGTGCTGCGACTCTGTAGACTGTAGATGGTCCCCGTGCTTTCCAGATGGATACACACGGAGGCCCAGGGTTCAAGCTCCACATGCCCAGCACCAAGAAAGAGCTTTCGTCACCTCCTGTCCTCCGCAATGCCTGGAGGGGTACCAACCACTCCCTCAGCTCATGGAGAAGAATGAGACTCAGAAAGCTCACAAGACTTGTCAGGTAGCTGCAGAGCTGAGATTCATGTTCAAGCTGTTGGCTCCGAGACCAGGGTTCCTTTCTGGGTAGCAGCTGACAGTTAGCCCGCACGCTTCAGGGCCTGGAGAGGTCCCCGCCCTGTCTGCAGGGCCACCACATGCATCCCGGACATGTGCTCTGCAGACGGGCGGGGGCGCTGTGCGCTGTGAGCACTGCAGAGACCTGGAAGGGGTCTCACCTGATGGGGGGCACAGCACCGGGAAGGCAGCAAGGCCGGACTCTGCTCACCTGTCAGCGTCCACTGGTGGCTACCCTGGGTGGGCCCCACACACGGCCTGAACAGAAGGCGGGAGCCGTCCTCTCCTGTCCCTCCAGAGCAGGCTCACCCAGGAGAGTGGGAAGGGCAGCTGCAGCGTTGCTGAGCCCCGCTGAGCTTCTGCCTGCTGGGCTGTCGACTGCACTGTGGAGCTAGATGTGGCCTGCCTGCCGCAGGGACACCGTGAGGCGTGAGCCGGAGCTGGGTCCCTGGCCTCAGCCCGCGGGTGGAGGAGCCCGTGCCCAGCAGGCAGGGGACTGGGAACGAACCTAAGTCCTCCCTTCTCTCCCCAGAGTCCACCTCTGTCTGGCCGGGGCTGCCTCCTCCACGCGCCTGCCCTGACTATGCCTCCCAATACCCCATCTGGAACAGCCCCCCAGCACCCGTCCAACTCCACCCGTCCCTAAGGATCCCACCTTTTCCTTCGCGACTTCATCTCCTCTTTCAAAGTCTTAGTGATATTTCTGAGGTTACCGTACAGTCCTGGCCCTGCTTGATCAAGAGCTGTCTGGATCTCACGCAGAGTCCAGGGCCCTGAAGACAGCAATGAGTCTCCTGGTTCCTGAATGCCCCTCCCAGCACCAAGCCCAGAGCTGGGTACACCTGTGGGAGGAGACAGAGGTGCAGGGTTCTCCCACAGGCCCTTCCCCTGCCCACCCGGGACCACGGTAGGGATAGGAGCTGAAAGAGGCTGGGAGAGAGACAATGAGAAGCAATTATAACACCAGGTGATAAGGCTGCGATCAGCGTGTGCACTGGGCTCTTGGGAGCACAAAGGCCGTCAGTGACTGAGTCTGTTGAGGGATGAGGGTCGGAAGTGGCTGGGAGAGAAAGGGGAGGGAAGGAGGGAGGCGGAAACTCTGTATTCCAGCTGAGAAGGGTGATGGAGAGGAAAGGAGTTTTTCTCATCTTTGCCTCTAGCAGACTCAAAGGGGGAAAAGGGGGCCTTGCCTCTGATTGACAGGCTAGCAGAATTTGCCTCCTACGTAGCCGCAGCCCAGGTGAGGCAAGGCTGCTAGGAGATTCCTTAGACCCTGTCCCGATGGAAGCTGTCATGGAAGATGATCTGAAAGACCTGACCCACCCAGCGTCAGGTTGGGTGGGCCCAATGGGAAAGTTGTGTACTGAGGGCCGCTGCTCAGGACGCTTGCTCTCCCGGAGAGGCCTCCCTGCCTACCCCTGGGACTCCCGCCCTCTTGCAGTGCTGACTAAAGGCCTCTGAGGGCCTGGGGAGTCCCAACACACTTGATGTTGGCAGGAGGCAGCTCCCACTCACCCTGCCTTTTCCCTTGGGTGGGAGAGTGGTCTCTTTAAGGTGAGACTCTGTAAGGTGTGGTGTAGGGGGCCGCTGTGAGGGTTTAGAGTCCATAGCCCAGGGCTCAGATGCTTGCTCTTCCATTTGCTGGCCATGTGACCCTGGGAAAGTCATTTCCTCTCTCTCAGCTCAGCCTTCTTTGGGAAAAGGCTGCACGGCAGCCCACCTCACTGAGGACTTGTGAGGTTAAATAAGATGCGGTCTGAAGGCACCCGAAGTGGAGAATGCACTCCAAGCAGACTGAGCCAGGGTTTGCTATTCATGCCCGACACGGGCTCGGCTCCCCGCCGGTGGCCCCGTCACCCACCCTTCCGTCCCCTCTGACTTTCTGCAGGGAGGTCGCTGGGGTCTAGTCCTGGTGCTTCATCAGGGCAGCGGCGACGCCTGTAAGTCTGGGTGGGCGGGTGCAACACTACCCCGAGGCAGGGGGCTTCCTGGGCCTCTCGCCGGCCCTGCCAGCCTGTAGCATCCGGAAAGCTTTGTGCAGCTTTGTCTGCGATGTTGCCCAGCCTGCCAGCTGGTGCTCGCAGGGTGGCCCTGGGTGTGTGGTGGTCCCCGGGACCCCTGGCCTGAAACGCCTGGACCTAGGACATATGGTCCTGAGAGCGGTGTGGTTGGCAGGGGAGGGTGGGAGGGAATCAGGGGGCTCAGAAGCCCCAGAGGGGTTCACCCCATCTTCAAGCCCAGAAAGTCACCCGGACAGCCAACAAGAGGACCTGGAGATCCACGCCCTCCCCTGCCCTCACCAGGGCCCCCTGGAAGGTCTGCCAGGCGGACAGATGCCACAGATGCCTGCTTCTGCTGCCCCCAACCCAGGATCTGGGCTGCAGCCCAAGGCAGGGAATTTTAACTCCTATACAGAAAACCTGCTGGTTGGTTATCTAGTTCAACCCCTCACCTTACAAGCAAAGAAAATGAAATCCAGAGAACGGCTAGGCAGGGCTGCGGTGGTCAGGACGACAGTCCTTTCAGCTCAGGGCATAGCCTCTGGATGCTGCCTCACTCGGGCCACACACACTGCAGGCATGAAGCTGCGCCTGACACGCCGAGCGTCTGTCCGGCTGGGCGGAGGCTCCCACGGGGGGAAGGTGAGAAGACGCTGAGCCGGGACCTTTGCTTTGCTTACCTGTGTAGCCCAGGGCTTCCCAGGTGGCTCCGAGGTAAAGAATCCGCCTACCAATGCAGGAGATGTGGGCTCAGTCCCTGGGTGGGGAAGATCCCCTGGAGGAGGGCATGGCAACCCACTCCAGCTCTTATCTGGAGAATTCCACGGACAGAGGAGCCCGGTGGGCTACAGTTCAAGGGGTCGCAGAGCCAGACACGACTGAGCACGCAGGCCCCTAGAATGCTGCTTGAGTACCTGGTAGGTGCTCACTGGACAGTCACCAAAGGAGTAAGTGAGACAGTGACCACTGGATCTCTGAGAGGAGCAGATGACACTGTCAAGTCAGGAGGCTTTGAGGAACATTTAATGAAGGGACTGCTTACAGAGGCGCGGCCAGGTGTGAGGAGAGCATGGATGTGGGGGGCCTGCGGGGGCTCTGATGGTCCCCCTGGAAGGGGCAAAGGGGGAGCCGCAGGTTGCCAACAGAAGGTGTAAGAAGAGGCCCGTGGAGACGGCTGCCCGGAGCGGGGCTGTGGTCTCAGGTGAGGAGTGGCCGGCCCGAGGCAGCACCACGGAGCCCCGCCCTGCACTCCCCAACCTCTGACCCCTGCCGGGCTCCCCGGCCAGCATGGTGGGCGCCTGGCGGGGCGGAGGCCCCAGTGGAGAAGAGCTCTCCCTCCGGGCAACCAGAAGCCAGCCCTCCCAGGCTGGAGAAGCCCCTTCTCTTGGGTGGGCCTGCTTCGCTTGTGACCCCCGCGGGAGCCCTAAGGTCTCCTGGGAACCGGGGGGGCTGCGTCCTCGGCTGCCTCTGCCCCTCTGCCTCCTTCTCCCCCAAGTCAGGGCCTCTCGGCCTTGGCACGGCTGACATTCGGGAGCAGATCATTCTTATCGTGGGGGTGGCGTTGCGGGGGGTTTAGCAGCATCCCTGGTCTCTGCCCATGAGACACCAGGAGCAAAGCCAGGTGCCTCCATGACCAAAGCGTCTGCGGGTGTTGCCAGATGCGCCCTGGAAGCAAAGTCGGCCCCCGTTGAGAGCCACGGCCTTAAAGGGACTCTTCCCAGGGTGGACACCTGGGCCCAAGGCTGCTTTTTATACCAAAAATGAAAACACTGTTTCCTGGCTTCCTAGGTACTCATCGGAGCTCTCAATTTTAAATCCAGTCAGTTACACAATTAGCACAGGCAAACACAGCCATTTGCAGGCATCAGCAGGCAGTAATTTTTGGAAAAGAGATACACGAGAATATATACATGTACAATGGGAAGCTGTTTAAATACAGATAGGATGTATTTATTTATTCCTCTCCTTGTTTCATAATGGATTTAAGGCTGCTTAAAGTGAATTAAAACAAGTGAGGGGAAGTGAGACAGAGGGAAAAGAGGAGTGTGCGTTAGATGGAGGTCTGTAACCAGTTGCCCGAGGTGAAGGATCACGCGCTTGCTAAAGACAGGCCATAAATCCAGCTCCACGCTCTTGGCGCCCAACTCCAGAAGGGAAGCAGGACCAGCGTCGGTGTCTGTGGGGGGCGTTCATCGCCAGCTCCCGGCCCAGCACCCTGCCGTCTCCTCTTTCGTGGTGGCCTGTCGCCGGGTGGGCAGCACCTGCTGCAGGCGGCGGGATCAGCAGCCTCGCTGTGGCAGGCAGTCCAGCAGGCCAGGGTCCAGCCTGGCAGGAACTTCTGAGGCGCCCATGCCGCGCCCCAGACTTTTCGGAGCCGGAGGCAGAGCAGATAGGGCTGTCTTCCTGCTGGCTCCCAGGACTGGCATGGAGCTCTGCCCTTCTAAGTGTTACCGCATCTCTTTAGCATCTAATCTGTCTCACTTTGGGGCTGAGGGCATGATACCCATTTTATGCATAAAATAATATCGGATGTTAATTGAGCACTTAATATGGACCAGTCCCTTTGTTATGTGCTTTATGCACATTATCTCTTTTAAACATTTTACTTTGTATTGAAGCACCGTTGATTTATAATGTATTAATCTCTGCTGCACCACAAAGTGACTCAGTTACACACATATATACATCCTTTTTAATTACTCTCTTCCATTAAGGTTTATCCCAGAATACTGGATATAGCTCCTTGTACTGTACAGTAGGAATTTGTTGTTTATCCATTCTATATATAGTAGTTTGCATGTACTAACCCCAAAACCCCAGTCCATCCCTCTCCCCACGTTATCTCATTTATTCTTCACAGTAACCCCACGAGGCCAGCACAGGTGAAAAACTGAGGCTTCCAGATGGAAAACTGAGGTTTACAACATGAAAAGCAATATCCCCGAGCTAGTAAGCAATAAGACAGGGATTGAAGCCCAGCCTGGCCTTCCTCTAGAGGCTGTGAGCAGGTGGTCCAGTTCTCTCACCTCTACTGGGAAGTCTGGAGGTCAGAGAAGAAAGGAGACGGATCCTGACCTGAGAGGCCAAGAGGGACAAAATTCCAGTACAGAGTCCCAGGCAGTGTTTCTTCCATCCCAGGGAATCCCTGCCTCTATGCTCGGGGGGAGAAAAAGCTCATTTTATGAGATGGGAACTGATCCTGTCTTTATTTTAAAATTAGATGTTCATTATGGATTTTTTTTTTTGCAATTGATTTTGATCTTTAAAAGTATTACATTAAAATATTCATCTTGTGACTGAGTTTTTGGCACCCCATTAAGTTTGCACATCTGGGGCAAGTATGTTACTCACCTCACCCTGAACCTGGCTTCTAGAGACCACCACCCACATTCCCTCATTCAGCCCCTATTTCCTCATCACGTGGGAAGAAATAGCCATCTCTTCTCTGCCTGACAAACAAGGCTGAAATGAGAACCAAGAGGAGAAGAGGCTGAAAAAGCAAACCGCAGGGAGCTGTTTCTTCGAAGAATCATGTATGATGCTCCCAGACTTTAGGCTTCACCCTGCCACACCAGCAAGGACCATCATCCCCTGTTATAGATAGAGAAACTAGGTTCAAGGTCAGAGTTACTCACCTAAGGTCATGCAACCAGGCTGACTCGCGGTCCAAGGCTTCACCCACCACCCCACCCTGTTTCTTGGCCCTGGGTTCCTCTTGTCTGGTGGAGAGCATGGGTGAGGTGGTCCCTGATCACTCACTCCTCTCTTCAGGAGTCTGAAAGCCACCTCCTTCTCAGGATGTGAAAGTCAATCCAATCCAATCTGTAGCAAAAGCAAATGGACTCTTTGGAGAAAACATAAGATGTTGTGTGAGTTAATAAGGTAACAATTTAATATGTTTCTCTCGCCTACACTCAGCCTCCATCTTAAACAAGCTAGCAAGTATTCACAGTTTGCCTTTTAGTAATTTAGGGAAGGCATTTGAAATTCCCATCTCCCCTGCTCCCCAACCAGCAATGTTTCTTGTCACTGGCTAACAGCATTTAAAATATTTACAGCCCTTTCTTTACCCTAGGGTGTATCAGAATAAATCTTGTTACCACCAATAAATCAAAAATTAATCTCCAGAAAGCTCTATTCCTGTCCTATCCCTCAAATAGCAAGTAGCAGAATCTATCCAAGCAACTTGGCATCAACAGAATTGGTGTTTCCTCAGCATGCCTGCAATTCAGGAGACCCCGGTTCAATTCCTGGGTCCAGAAGATCCGCTGGAGAAAGGATAGGCTACCCACTCCAATATTCTTGGACTTCCCTTGTGGCTCATCTGGTAAAGAATCTGCCTACAATATAGGAGACCCAGGTTCGATCCATGGGTTGGGAAGGGGGAAGTCTATCCCTGGAGAAGGGAAAGGCTACCCACTTCAGTACTCTGGCCTGGAGAATTCCATGGACTGTATAGTCCATGGGGTTGCAAAGAGGCGGACATGACTGAGTGCCTTTCACTTGACCTCACAGCATTCCCGGGGAGAAAGTGAATAAGGCAAAGAGAGCAAGAGCCCCACACGCCCCTGGTGGGGCCGCTCCAGGGCCAGAGACCCCACGCTGGGACTGGGCCTGTCTGGGCAGCCTTCGCTGACCTTAACCCCCAGCTCCTCAGCCCTGATCATCATACCAAGTCCTCCCAGACACCATCGCTCTCTTTCATCCTGAAAAGGCCTCTTTCCTCCTGCAGAAAGCACCTCCTCCATTGCCAACTTTCTCCTTCATCATTTTCTTTTCTTCCAGTTAGATGTCCCTTCTCGCATCCTTTCAGTTCCTCTCTTTTCTTTCATCCAACTCTTTCCTAAAACTCTGTTGAAGTTTTTCTCTCCCTTTCCCTTTCCTGTTCCTTTGAAAGATCCCTCCCTCTTTTTCCCCCTTTTCTTTCTTGTCTTGGATTTCAGGATAGAGCAGTTAGACGTCTAGCATGTGCACTCGTATTAGCGCCGTACTACGCTGGGGAGGAATACATTTCAGGAAGTCTGTATGGCATCTATGCCCTACTAGTGCCTGACTCCCCTTTCTCCACCTTCTGCTGCTAGAACCTCTCTCTGTTAATGTCACGTGTAACCTTCTCAACTTGTTATTATCCATGTAACTACCTGAATTTAGAGAATTTATATTTGTTGTGACTATAAAATTATATGTGCTCATTGGTGTAAATTTGGAAATGGTAGAAAATTGTAAAGAAAGGAAATCTTCCCATAATTCCACCACATACAGATAACCACTGTTATTAACATTTTGGTATATTTCTTTCCATCTCTTTCCTATATGTATGTGTATTTTTAATACGGTTTTCACAGATGTATCATAATTGGAATATGTTATGTAGGGTAGGGCCATACTGCAACAATAAAGATTACTCAAATTTTCCCATGTTTTAACACATGAGAAGTGATTTGTTGCTCCTGTAACAATCTTTGCGGATTATTTAGCTTTGCGTGGGGGCTTTGCTGCACAGTCATTAAAGTCTGGAGTTCTTTCCATTGTGTGATCCTGCTTTCTCCTTAAGGCCTTGTTATTGTCTTCAGTTCTCAAAAAGTGAAACAGCATGGAGACACAGCCACCTTGGCTCCAAGTAGCACGCGCTACTTGTCCACTCATGTTCCACTGGTGGCCCGCTTAGTCATGTGTCCCACGTAATATCAAGGGAGGCTGGGAGATGGAGTCCAGCCATACACTTGGCTACAACCCCACTTCTGTCAAAAGAGGGGCTACTTAATGGCCAGTGCTGCTTCCCACAGTTTCCGTAAGCTCCCCCACGTGGCCTGCTCACTGTGAAGGCCTGTGCTCGCACGCCTCACTCTCCTTACACAGGCATTCACCCCCCTCTGCAGGTGCTGCCTCAGGGATTGGAGCGCCCTTACCCGTCCTAACACCCTTGGCTGGTGGTGGGTGGACCACCCACTCACCTGTGCTCCCACACGTCACACGGTGGTGTTAGATGACTCACTTGTGGCATTTAGAGTGTGGGTTTCTTGAGGGCAGCATCTGAAACACAATTTCAGAAGTTAATAACTTTGTTGTTGAGTTCTGTTGCAAAATAGGTACTTAAGATGTGTTTGCTAAGTGAGACAGGGAATACATAGGAGAAACAGAGTGTGGGCACTGGCCAGGACTGCAGAGGCATCGGAAGTGAGCCCCCTTGATGGGGCAGGTGTGAAGAGAGCCACATGGTGGAGGACTTCAGGGCTGCGGTGGCAGCATAGCTAGAGGCCAGGGAAGATCACTTTCATCAAGTGCTCTCCTAAGGTGACTACTCATATGTCATCTTTAAGGAAATTGTTGATGCGATGACTATTTAGACAACAATGCAAAAACATTAGAGAAAACTGGGAGAAACAGCACTGAAACACTACGAGAAAGTGGTGCACGGGCTTCCCAGTCCCCACCCATCACCCGCACAGGCCTCACCTCCGCTCAGGCTTGGCTCCCCAAGCCCGGCCCTTACAAGCCGGGGTGGTACCATTTGTGTGCACCTGCTTTCCTGGAGTTTAGAAGCTGGCTGTGCTTCTGGGTCCGTGACTGCCTGAGATTTCACAGTGGAGTGGTGGGAGCAGGTCAAAGTGGAAATGGGTTTAGAAGATGTAGGTCTGATAAACGAAGTCTTTTCTTTTGAGCTGCTTGGCTGTGAATGGAGGGGAAAGGGTACAACAGTAGCAGGAAAGGGATATGAGTGCAATAAAAGGCTTCCGGAGGAGGTGAGGAAGCTGGTGGTAATCTTGCTTTTCTTTGGTTTGGTAGTAATTGGAGGGATTGGAGCATGTCTACATGCTGAAGGGGAAGAGCCAGCAGAGGTTAGAAATATAGGAGAGAGAAACTAGACCCATCAAAATGAAAAACAGGTGTCCCTTTGAAAGACACCTTTGAGAAAATGAAAAAACCAATCTATATTTTTATATAAAGATATACATATATCTTTATGAGCTGTAAGGTTCTTACAACTCAATAACACAAGAACAAAAAAAAAGGGCAAAGGGTTTGAATGGACTCTTCACAAGAGAATATACAAATGTCCGAGAACCACATGAAAAGATGCTCCACATTTTAGTCAACAGGAAGATGAAAATTAAAACTACAGTGAGATACCACTACACATGTATGAAAATGGCAACAATACTGACAATACCACTGTTGGTAAAAATATGAATCCAGTGGACCTCTAGCATATTTTTGGTAGAAGTATAAAAGTGTATGTCCACTTTGAGAAAAAAAGTTGGCTATTCTTGTAAAGTAAACATGCATTTACCATACAACTCAAATATTCACTTCTAGGTATTTACCCAAGAGAAATGAAAGCATGTCTACATGAAGATTATACAAGTATGTTTACAGCTTATACAACTGTGGAAAAAATCCAAATGTCCATCAATAGATACATGGATAAATAAACTAGCATATCTATACAATGGAATACTACTTAGCAATAAAAAGAGTAAACTACTGATACACACAAGAGGATGCATCTCAAAGATATTATATTGAGCAAAAATGTCAAACATGAAAAAACTGAATTCCATATGATGCCATTTAGATGAAATTCTACTACAGCCGGAACTAATCTATGGTGACAGAAAGCAGATCTGTTGATTTTCAGCAGTGGTTGCTGGGGAACTGATTGCAGGAGGCAGCTTTTTGGGAAGACAACACTGTTTTATATCTTGATTTGTGGGACTAGTGATTACACCGGTATATTCATTTGTCAAAACTCACCCATTTGCTAAAATGGATGCATTTTACTATATGTAAATTAATTTCAATAAAACTGATTATGGAGAGAATAACTAGAAACTGTATTAAATGTAAAATGGGATCAAAACAATAGATGGAAAGGCTAATCTTGCATAGGAGATGATGTACTTTCTCCTCTGAGCTGTACCTGGTGGAAAAAAAGTGCAGGTGCAGGAGAATAGAGAGGCCTGGGGAGTCTGTGGGGGCAGCGTGAGAAACCGCTCAGAACCACAGGGAAGTGTCACCTTACAGCATCAACTCCCATGCGGAAGACTGCAGGGGCCTGGATTTTTTTATTGTTGTAAATGCTGGCCAGGTGGATTTCAAAGATTCTCCAGGACCATTGCATAATGAACCCAGGAGTTCAGGCTGTTGGCCTGGGTTGACACCATTAGCCCATATTATATTTGCATAAAGCCATTTTGTCCTTGTTGGGAAAACATCAGGTCCAATAAAGTATATAGGAATGTTAGAGTTCTCAGGCAGCCTCTGACCACACATTGTCATGCAGCTGAAACAGCGGACTTTTGTTGTTGTTTTTTGCCTTGGGTTTTTAGGGGAAAGAGACAGCCCAGAGAGCTCTTACCCATGTTATCTGGAAGTATTGTGACAGCCAGGAAATTGGACTGATGTCAGAAGAAACCACAGTGGCTGTTTCCTTTCTATTATTTTTTAAAAATCAATTTTGATCTTTCAAGCCCTATGAGAAACAAAGTTTACTAAATATACCTCTGTGGGGGTGTGTGTTGATGCAAGCATTTATCTTGTCTCTGATCCCAGAGGATGCATTCCTCTTCCCTGGGCCTTCTCACCCTCTGCTATCGCAGGAGTCTCTTCCTTCTTAAGGCCCACTCCCTAGGCTTCTAAAAATCTGTGCGATAAAGGGCAAAGGATGGAGCCCTTTCTGCAGAAGGCAGGGCCAGTTCCTTACTCTGCCACAATTGCC